CTCTCGATCTCATAAATGTGATAAAAGTATTCTCGTAGTAAAGTATTAAACATTCAACGTTGACTGTGATGTGATTATATAGTATTGTGACCGAAATTCGAATTGGTATTCTGCTAGTCTTAGTAATACTTTACTATGGGAATAACTTTTATGACATTTGTGAGATCAAAATTAGATCATAACTGAATTTGAACGAATTTATGTCACGATGGTCCCTAGGTGTTTCATATTCATTACTTGTCCATTAATTCTTAGCTACTTTTTGATTTGACTGATCCGGACTACTTTTAAAAGAATTCTGCCAATATATATGTAAAGTGAAAGCTTTAATGGAATACCTGATATACTCGTAAAGATTATCAAGTAATCTAAAAACAAGAAAGTAATAGCCTTTTGACAAGCTTTTGGGTCATGTAAGACGGAAGAAATGCAGAAGTATCTCGATTCTATTTAAAATCCAGCTTTCAATCTATTAATTAAGCTTGTTTTTTTTAAAGTCAATACTTGTTTTTTCTTAAAACAATAAAGTTTAAATATTTTTTATTCTACCAGATTTCTTTACAAAATATTGGCGACGGGCCTGTTGGTCTAGTGGTTAGTGACCCTGACTGATAAGCCGGAGGTCTTGGGTTCGATTCCCACCCAGGACAAATATTGTATGATGAGCACGGTCATTTGTTCTGTGTCTGGGTGTAATTTATCTATAATATGTGTGTATTTATAAATATATAAGTATGTTTATCAGCAGTCTGGTTACCATAGTACAGGCTCTGCCTAGTTTGGGATCAGACGGCCGTGTGTGAGATGTGTTAGATATATTATTATATTATATTATTATTGTTATATTATTATTATATTGACGACCGGATGGCGTAGTGGTTTCTGTAACGGACTGCTATTCTAAAGGTCCCGGGTTCGATTCCCGCTCAAGTCAAACATTTGTGTGCATGAACTTTTAATGTTTGATTTGGTCTGGGTGTTTCTATGTATAATAAGTATGTATTTACAAAAAAAAAGTATAGATGTATTTATATCAGTTGTCTAGTACCCATAGTACAAGCTCTGCTTAGTTTGGGACTAGATGGCGTTGTGTGAATGTGGTACAATATTATTATTATTGTTTATGTAATGGTGGCAATCTATTTGCGGTACTGCTACTGCAATAAACTATAGTAGCAAACTTATAATAATTACACCTCAAGTTTTTTGTGCCTTTTGATAATATCCGACGTTCTATGTGGCCAATGAAACTAATAAAAGAACCGCTGGTCATGCTTGATTAATATCTTGCTGTGAGTTTATTGAGACCAATTGACATTAATTTAACTCGATGCTTTGCGATACCGACTGTAAATAGCGTGTTTATTATTATACCGAATGCTTTAAGCACGAGTCTTTTGTCTGTACATACTTACTCTTTATTATTAACAGTAGCCGCACCATAAACATAAAGCACTTTATACATAACTAACTTTTGTTATTGCTTTCTCAAGAATCAAACAATCAGATCACATCAACAGCCTTTAATAGTCCACTGCTGATGTATGTAGAAATATATAAGTATGTTTACTAGTAGTCTGGTTACTATAGTACAGGTTCCGCCTAATCTATACTATAATATTATAAAGCTGAAGAGTTTGTTTGTTTATTTGTTTGAACGCGCTAATCTCAGGAACTACCGGTCCGATTTGAAAAAATCTTTCATTGATAGATAGCCCACTTATCGAGGAAGGCTTTGGCTATATATCATCACGCTAATACCAATAGGAGCGGAGCACCAATGAAGAATGTTGCAAAAACGGGGAAAATTTATTCATTTTAAAAGACGCAGACGAAGTTGAGCGAGTCAGCTAGTTTAATATAAATGTGTAAAACGTGTCAATTTCTTAGTATTACAATTTTCAGTGGATAAATAACACTGGTTTCTAAGATGTATTTTTATTATTTTTATAACAAAATTCTTACTTATAATATATAATAAAAACAAGATAAAACCAGTACAAATGTTATATACATTTTTTACTTTGCACGGGTGGCCACACTTAACATTTTAATTTCAAGGCTAAAATAAAACTAATGTCAAATAATTTTGATATCAACACTTGGATGCTTAAGTGAATTATTTTTAGTTAACAATGGGCAAAAAACAATAAATCGCTGTCTTATTCTTCTGTAAGTATGTGTACATATTATATTACATTAATTATTTTATTGCATACCATGTACACCTTCAAATTATAAAGATCATTCTGTAGATGGTTTCATTGTACGGTAGTAAGTCAAACAGAAAAGCCGCCTTACTAAGGTTTTGTTCGGTAGAATATACGTATATATATAGATAGTCTAATACACCATACACTTAACTAAAAAAAAACAGTTCCATCGGTAAACTGGAAAAGAGAGAGAGAGAGAGAGAGAGAGAGAGAGAGGGTAGAATTTTAATTATTAGGGGTTAAAGTATGAAATTGCCGATTTGTACTAAACAATTGAAACTCGTTTTTTTTCTAAGCTGTAACATATTTATTTAATCAAAATATTTACCCTCATTATCTATACATTGCTGCCATCTAAATGGAAGTTCATTTATGTCTTTACGATAGAACTCTGGGGATCTAGATTCGAGAAACTTTGTAAAAGCATTTGTACTGCCACGAGGCAGAAACGGGAAAATAAAATATGACCAGTCAAATCATGAGGCACCCATTTTTCATATTGAGTCAATATTGTAGGTAGGGTAACAATAAACCATGCCGCTAATTCCTGGGTAGTTCGATTCGGATCGCCTTCACCAATTTCCTTCAATTCAGCGTTATTCACCTGTGTGGGCGGTCTTCCACATGGTTCATTCTTCTAGTCGAAGTTTCCATTACGAAAGCATTTAAACCAAAAACGCACGGTGCGTTCATTAGCAGGCTTTTCTTTCAGGTCGATATTGCGAGCCTTTTTTGCCGCGTTAGTACCGTGTCGAAACTCATATTAAAAAATGAGTCGGATTTTCGAAGTATCCACCTTTCACGACTAAGCTGAATAAAAAAAAAACATTTGAAAATCGAATGATGAACATTTTTAAAAGAAAGACCTCTTAGTTATCATGTGAAAATGTGTTTCACACGAAAATCTCACACCATGAAGGTTTAATGTCAGTACAAAGTATCTATTACTATACATTGGCAATTTCATACTTGAACCCCTATTATTAAAGCCCCAAACAGGTTAAGCTAAATAAAATCGTTTAAGAACAAGTGAATTTTACTGTAGTCGTATAAAATGGTCAACTCTGATCAAATTGACTATCACGAGGTTCCCCGGTGATAAACTTACGTCCTTTTTAAGAAAGCGAGTAATAATAAAAACAAAGTTGAAAATAATAATTAATATATTAAATATAGATCGACACTTATTTCACGACGACTATTTAACCATTGTCAACAACATTATTATTTGCGAAAAAAACGCAAGTTTTGTTCCACAGTAGTTCGAGTATGTTTTTTTTATTATACTAGTGTAGTGTAGTTTATTTGTTCAAATAAATAAACGAACTCACTTCGACTTCATACAGATTTATCTTATTCGATATCTCTGTCTTTAATTAGATAATTTGTAACGTATATAAGTACCGACATTTAGTGTACGGTACTGCTTCCTAATAGCCATTCATAACGAGGCGTTTAAAAGACAGTTGTGTTGCAAACCAGTTAGTAAAGAAAGTTTTCTTTCTCAAAAGAGACAACGCCCGCATTAGAAATATATCCTGTGTCGCGGGGGACTTTACAAACATACATGAAACGGACACAAATAACACCTAGACTCAGAACAACAATTTGTGGATTATGTGGTTTGAACCCACATCACTCGGCGTAGTGGGAAGCGGCGTGGCGACCGCTTAAACCACTACGTCATCTGTGCAGTCAATATTGATGAATGACAGAAGAAATACAATTTTCTGACATTATCTTGTCAAATGAAATCAAGTAGAAGTATAGCATCACCTAGGTTTAGGTTCAGGTATTTGCTTTACTTCGCCTTACATCTAGTAGAAAACCGCGAATCTTTTATTAATACGCTTCTTTTATTTAATAGCTTAACGAACTGTCTAAGAAATTAAACATATGTATGTTAGACGGAAACTTTAATATACTCTTATTATATCTTAACTTTATATAATATATATTCACTACTACGCTGAGTGTTGTGGGTCCGATCCCCACATGGGACGACACATTTTGTGATCCACAAATTGTTGTTCTGAGTCTGGGTGTTGTTTGTGTCTGTTTTATGTACATGACAAATGCCTAATAAACGTATAACGTAAAAAATAAACGTATAAATAGGTGTATAAGTAGGTATCAAGTGTTGTGCACACATGCATGTGATTAACCAACATTATTCCTGTATTATCTGGTTATAATATGGGTGTGCATTGAAACATCACACACACAGAGAGATAGGCACCGAACCGGAGTGCGAATATGAACATTACGGTGCTACTGCATTTATGACCCTTGACTGTACATCAGTTTAACTTCCTGCGACTTTAGTGTGTTAGTGTTTTTGTACGATTTATTTCCAATTTTATGTCCAATTTCTGGACCGATACCACTTTAAACTTGTAAGAAAAGAGCGTACTTCTTTCTCAAAGGCCGACAATAGGCTTGTGACTCCTGACCTGCAGGCGTTCATGGGCGCGATAGTCGTTTTCCATCGGGTGACCCGACTGTTCGTTTGCCCCCTCTTCCATAAAACAAATACTGACAGGTCTTTGGCACCTAAAGTACTGAAGAAGTGTATCATGAGTACCTCTCTCTAACATAAAGAGAATTTTGGACAATCAATGTTATTCTCATACCCAACGGCCTAAAAGTTGTTAAGGATGGCAGGAAACATTCATTGTGCGATACAGAATCAACAGTTACTACGTAATTCCAATCATCTTCGTTAGATGGCACTACACCTTGTTTTTATAATATAATTAAAAGCAGGAATAACAAGTCTGTACTCACACTTCACTAGAGTTGACTTTCTCACAGACGACAGGTAGTTCGCTGAGTGAGACGTGTGTTAAGTTCAGCATGCACGCCTTGTCGCCGTAGTGTAGGTCGTCGGCTGTTACTTTTGATGTTGTACCTGATGAGAAATGAGTTAAATTAAAAATTGCTACTATGAGATTCTCAAAACGGAAGCCTTTATTCTTTCTATGGTAACATAAGCCTTCGACAGCAAGTATTATTTTTACCTAATTCATAAAAAGGAACAGATTATCACAACATCAAGTTTTTTTTAAAGTTGTTACTTGAAAACACCGGCATTTAACAATCGATTTCCTCTTAGATCCCATCTATCTTAAAAATTGGGGAATGAAGAATACAATACAAGAATGTTGTAGGCTATTGAAGTTAATATTTTTTAAGAAGGTAAGAATTTATTTTTGTGAGAATGGGATATAAAAAAAAGTTTCCCTCATTGGTAGGATCGTGGTCACGGTCAGGCTTAAAAAGCGAGGTAAATTTTGATTTAAGAGAATTCAAACGTTTGAGTAGAATCTTGCAACGAAGAAATCCTCTTTCATTCATTGATGCTTGATCGCCAATAAATGTTTTTGTTTCGTTAACGCTTAGCCTTGTAATTTACAATACATTTACAATTTAATTAGTGAGTAATGCAAATATAGCGCATTTTTATTTAGGAACAATGTTTTCAGTTAGGTATAATTGTAAATTACATATTAAATATTTCCTCAACTATACCTATGATTTACTTACAAAAAACATCATGTATTGCGTTAAGTTCTTAGAATTTGGATATTTTTAAGATTTATTTTTTTGTGGTTTGGCGGGCAATTCGAAATTCAAAAAAAATTTATTCGAAAGCAATGTTATTTTAATTTAATATTCAGTCATTTCTTTTAGATAGTGTTTTGTTTTATGAAATTGTGGTAGTTTTTGGCGCTATGGAAAAACTGATAATTCGTACAATTATAGACTGTGTTTCCGACGTGGAAGTACGGCTTCGCAACAACACGAAAAATTAACGACGTGTACGGGCCTAACACTGCTTGCATGAATACGGTTCATTATTGGTTCAATCGTTTTATATCTGGAAATTTTAAGTTGAAGAACGAGCTCGCGGTCGGGCGCAGTCGACAACGACGAATTGAAGGCGATAGTGGAAGCAGATCCAACTCAATTTACGGCTGAGCTCACTGCGGGCTTTGAGTTCAAGTCAAAACAACATTGAAGCACTTGCGTCCAATCGGAAAGATAAAAAAGCTAGATAAGTGGATGCCACACGAACTAAGCGACCATCAGCGAGAAGCATGCATAGATCTACTGAATCGGCATAGAAACGAGGGGATTTTGAATCGAATTATTACCTGCGATGAAAAGTGGATCGGCGATAGTCATTTAGGTACTATCAGGTGACCCGACAGTTCGTTTGGCTTCTAAGCCAAAAGGGAATGGAATTAATTATTTTTTTAAAAGACAACTCCCGCACAAGGATAAATCCTGAGACGCGGGGGACTTTACAAACACACATGAAACAGACGCAAAAGACAAACAGACTCAGAATAACAATTTGTGGATTGCACAAAGTGTTTTCCCATGTGGGGATCGAACCCAGAACACTCAGCGCAGTTGGAAGCGGCGAGGTGACCGTTTAAAGTTCTTTGTAATATAAATGAATAAATTTATGTATAGTAGGTAATACAATGAGCACGTGTAATATAATTTATTGGAAAGTTGCAAATTTTTTGACAAATATAGCTTTATAAAGTTTCGAGTTCTCTAATTCGTTATTATTCGAATTAACTATTTGACATGTCGAAATTTAGAGATATATATGTAATAGTTATTAATAGTAGGTATTAGCAAAATAATTCTCGGGTTAGTAATAATTATAAATAGAATTTCTTACTTTTTCAAATCAATTAAAACTTTTCAATGGATATGTTTTAATGGTTACGTAAAACATTTTAGTCAGATAGAGGAGCGTGAAAACATTCACGATGGATTATCAAATGAGACATGACCTTCAGTAACTGAAGAACGTGACTAGAAAGGAAGAAATCGACTGTTTATCGAACTGTCAAAAGAAAACGATATAAAAAGATTGACAGAGTATATTCTGTCACAGTCAAAGACAATTATAGCGAGTTCAATAAAATACTGGCCGGTTGTGAAATACTTTATTGCGTAATTAAACTGTGTTTAACTTTAAACCAAGTTGGCTGTTGGTTTTGATCGTGACATTGAACGACCTTGATATTGACTTACAATTAATTTGTTCTTGAAAGCGGATTTGACACAGATTGTTTTTATACAAACACTATTAGCAGTATCGATAATTTACAGGCAATCGATACTTTTTTGTTGAATGGTTGGTTACATTACACGTTAATTGTATCGAACTACAAAAAATGAAATTTTACACTGAGTTTGAAGTAATATAATATTAAATATTGCGTAATTATTGTGTTAGAGTGGTCAAATAAGATAAGTCCGTGAGGTGACGGATTAAGAATACGGAGCGTCACCACCCCGTGGGTGTCGTAAGAGCCAACTAAGGGAGCAAATTACGCAGGACAACAGCACTGCAAAGAGAAGGAAAACTTGAAACGAACCCTATACCAACCCGTCTGGCCAGTTTGGTACAGTAGGCTAAAAGCTCCTTTCTAAGGGGCCTATGCCCAGCAGTCGATTATTAAAGGCTGATGATGATGATCTCGAGCTATTGAATAGGATCCCCAATTTATCATTAGTAACATCCCTTCCATTTTATGTTAGGTATAGGGAAAACGAGCAGACGAGTCACTTTATGGTAATGCTTTTTAATGTAAGAGGGGGCAGACGAGCAGACGGGTCACCTGATGGAAAGTGACCATCGCCGTCCATGGACACCTGCAACTTTCTTTTTGTAATTCTTTATTTTTTTGTGACATTTTATTTAAAAACAGGGAAAAGATTTTTTTTTAAATGTGTTGAAACCATGAAATTTCGTTTGCTTTATTTGTGTAACAAAGGACAGAAGTAAAACATATTCGCGCGATAAGATTGAAGGAATACAATTAAAATAATATAAACATTAAACCCGCAATATCACCTGTTTCTTTGTTACGTAAATAATTCAACTGAGAAAGGTATAATTATTACCTATAAACAAGATTTCTTTTTATTTCAAACAACATTTTTATTTAAAAAACCGAAGTGAAAATTGTTTAAGTAACAATTTTTATTTTGATCTCTATTTTTTTTCTTATTTTGTTCATGGATTGTTTTATTTATTAAAGTGCTGCTATTATTTGATATTACGTTTTTATTACGCTTTTATCAAGGGCAGCCCATCAGGTTAGTTAAAAAAATCGATGGCCAGCATCGAGATATAGTAGTACTTATATCTCGATGATGGCCAGAAATACTCGAGCGTGTAAGATTAAGGTAAGTTGAGTCAATTACATACATGTAAAAATAATAACAATTTGAGCGTGGCATAAAGCAGTGGGAGGGTTACAGAGTTCCAAAAAAACCCATGACCTTGTTTTATTTTAATTTTGAAGCAAAACAATACAAGAAATCTTCTTTAAATGTCTACATAATTATTCCTTTATTTGTCGCATTTTATAAAAATCAAAATACTTCTAATCGTCAGATTTAAAATACCCTTTTTTTTCTGTGCGGAACTCCCCTCGGTTACCACCCACCAGTGGGTGGTTATGTCGTATTCGATCCGACCAAAAACCGTACGCTGTCTCTAGGTTCAATGGGAGCAAATAACATATCCCCAAAATATCGGATGAGTCCGAATTTTTTGATTCCCGATTTCTTCCCCTTACATTTTTGAAAACCTGTAGAAGCTTTTGACATCGCTAAAACTGGAAACATTATAAAACTTTTATTCATTCTATTACCTAATCTTTCAAATGCAATAGTTCCCTCTGACGCTCGATTAAATCCACATTTAGCATCATGGGTTTCCCTACTATAATTCGCGACGCCATTTTCAATTTAAAGTAATTGTAGACATAAAAGCTAAATATACAAGGAATGTATGTGTATGATATTGTGACTGTTTGAAGACTGAAGCCATGTATCCACTTGACAATAATCAATGCGCAACATGTTGCTTTTAATGTCATATTGATGTTCAATCCGCGAGGAACATGTTGCAACCATTGAGTTAAAACGTATTATATCAATGGTTGCAACTTGTCTGACTACACATAAACAGTTGTTGACATGACGTCAGAGGAATTAAATTTAGAGTTGATTTTAGCTGAGATGTTTGTAATATAAAATGTAATATAAATAGATAAAAACAAGGCAATTGTTTGTTAAAAAGGAAATGTAATTATTTGTTGACGTTTTAATTTGAATGGTACGCATTTTGCTTAGAAACAAACCAAAAGCTACAGCGCGCTGTTTTGCAACGTTGCAGTACATGTTGCACTAAAATTGATACCTATAGTCCACCAACGTCGTGCGCGACCGTCCTGCGGGGTGATAGACGGTGGCGGGGACGAGGTACTCAAGATGTCAGCGGGTAGCGGGTGGTATAGCGGGGAAGGGAAACGCTTCTCTTCGTGTGTAGCCGTCTGCTAGAATGACGTGCTACCTCGCCCCCGCCACTGTCTGTCACCCCGCGGGACGGTCGCGCACGAGATTGCCGGGTTATAGTGGAAACACGGCCTTACAGTCTGACATTTATCGGAATGGAAGACGTATTAAGGCTACACGGGTCAGTGGGACACCTAGATACCGATGTTTGATTCAATATAAATACCTTTCGTGAATAAGTAAAGGGATCAGGCCTTTGTTGGATGTTGTTACAAATAAAAAAAAGCAATTTCTACGTTCTGGAATTGTACATGTGTGCATGAAATACCGTTCAGGTAACCTTATCGTGTCTGGGTTTTATTATTGTGAGAATATGTAAACCTGTTAGTCTTGTCAGTCACGAAACATCTAAAGGGGTTTTTGGTGTGTCTTTCCATGAATATGTTGTTCGTGTACATGTCATGTAACGAAAAAGCTATAGTAAAAAGAGAGAAAAATGTTCATAAATAGGATTAAACCCGCGAGAGAACGAGATAGATTACAAGTATACAGTGTTTTCTGTAGTCTTTGTCTCCT